ATACATCTGTATCATTCACAAGAAAAAGTCATCTATGGCTGTCAAGGTGGTAGAGAGGCATCATCCAAATAAGGATTTGAATATTTTATGCAAAGATAAAGCAAACTGAGAAAATTTAGAACCGCTAGTGACTTGTTTCAGTAATGTGCAAGAGTTTGAAATGTGAAACAAACATTCAGAAATTGGGATTAGTGCAACATAAATGCTCTTTTTTTGAAATTTTAGGGACTAAAAAGTTAATTTATTTTTATTGATAATTGAATAATTGTAAACAAATATTTTCAGATTCTGATTACTCAAGTTTTATGGCCAACAAAATGATTAATTACTACATCGTTAAGTTAACCTATAAACTACCATGTGTTTTATGTTTAGATGTTGTTGGGGTATCTATTCTAAAGTAGGGTGGATGAGATACACCTCCAGAAAAAGATAATGAAGGATGTCTGAATGGTATTTTTTATTTGTGTATCTATTCTAAAGTAGGGTGGATGAGATACACCTCCAGAAAAAGATAATGAAGGATGTCTGAATGGTATTTTTTATTGTGTATCTATTCCAAAATGGGGTGGATGAGATACACCTACAGAAAGAGATAATGAAGGATGTCTGAATGGTGTTTTTTATTCGTGTATCTGTTCCAAAACGGGGTGGATGAGATACACCTACAGAAAGATATAATGAAGGATATCTGAATGGTATTTTTTATTTGTGTATCTATTCCAAAATGGGGTGGATGAGATACACCTACAGAAAGATATAATGAAATGATATCTGAATGGTGTTAGAAATAAAGTAACTGTAATCTGTGTTAAGATGTTTTTGTCTCATGTTTCAGAGCTCGGGCATCAATAGCAATACTCCTAGTCCTAGTCCACTTAATAACCAGGCAATAGGTAGCCAAACATCTAGTCTCAATATGAGCAACAGTATTAGTGGTTTGAATCCTGCTCTTGTCCAGAAAATATTGCAGCAACAGCAGCCGCCACCACCACCACCAGCATTTGCTCCTGTGAGTACCCCTGGTATTTTCATTATAGTTATTAAAAAAAAAGGGAATTGATTTAGAGAATTTTACTGTTATTTACTATTACAACAGAAAAATGTCGTAATATAAATTTCATTTTATTGCTTGAAATTTGTAGCTGAGAGATTAAACGGGGGTGGGACTGAAAAGTGATAGTTGAATTAAGAATAAATGAATCGCCTGGCAGTTACGATTCGCAGTGGATCAAATCTGTGTATTTTCCTTCAAGAGTATGAATCTAAAGGCTTACATCTCGCAAACGAAAATAAAAGTTTGATATTTTAGAAGTGTTATAAATATAGGTTGAAGTGCTCGTCACTTTATTTTACAGGTTAATATACCCCAGAACGGTCTTGGTGGCCAGAGTGGGAGAATAAACCAGCAGAACTTACCGTCAACAGCTCAGTTGAAACATTTGGTTCAACAGATCCAAATGGCTGTTCAGGCAGGCCACCTGAATCCTCAGGTAGACAAAGTTTCTCTAAAACAGATTATTTAATTTCCAGTAAACATCTGTTTGTATATTTATGTTGTAAAATTAACAGTTGTAATGATAATTGTTTGTAGTTTGTATTCATTATCCCCCCTATAAGACATTTTACTCTGTAAATATTGTTTCATAGTCTGCGATGAATGTGTAAAACTGTTCATTTAACCGTGTTACAACAGGTGAGAATGTTACAGGTGTCAAGTTTACTCCTCAATGTCAAATTTTAAAATGTAAATAAAAATAGTACTTTTAATTATTTCAGCAATTTGTAGTTCAAGAATATTTTGTCACGTTTATTTAGTGGAATTCACAAAGAAAAATAATAAAGTTGAAGCTTAACATATCTATCGGGTTTTGAGTGTTTTACTTCACCAATACCTATGGGGTTTTCAGTCTGTTCTACTTCACCATAAAGTGTAATCCTTTTTTACTTATATCAATATCTGTCTGTTTTGGAGTCTGTTCTACTTCACCATACGGTGTAATCCTTTTTACTTATATCAATATCTGTCCGGTTTGGAGTCTGTTCTACTTCACCATATGGTGTAATCCTTTCTTACTTATATCAATATCTGTCCGGTTTTGAGTCTGTTTTACTTCACCATAAAGTGTAATCCTTTCTTACTTATATCAATATCTGTTGGGTTTGGAGTCTGTTTTACTTCACCATAAAGTGTAATCCTTTCTTACTTATATCAATATCTGTTGGGTTTGGAGTCTGTTTTACTTCACCATAAAGTGTAATCCTTTCTTACTT